GAAATATGCACGTCTTTTTATGTGCGTTTTGGGGAGGAGGAGAGGTGGTTTTTTGCCGTTGCCTGATCTTGTGTTTAAAAAGAAAGGGGGTTTTTGCTCGGGTGCGGTGCTCCTTTTGTTACTTTGGAGCCGCCAGATGCACAACTGAGCTGCTCTGGTCTGGGGAGTTTCAGACACAACGTATAAACAGGTGCTGCCTGGCTGGGGTTCATGTCATATATGGCAGATTGAAAGAAGAATAGAAAAGACAAGCCAAGCATATGCTGCGTCTTTACACTGAACACTGCCAGAGAGCTGAAGACGGGTTTGTGGGAAAAGCAGCTCCGAACAGCGATTTTCACAGAAAAGCGGGAATGGAGAAGATGGGCTCTGCTTGGCCCTTTGCAGATCGGCTGAAAGCGGCAAGTGCAAGCTGATAGAGCTGGTGTAACAGCAAATCTGCACTGCTGTCGCGGATCCACACGAACGGAGGATCGGAATCAGGAATAGCATGCTGTGGTTGAAGTTTGAATGAGTAGAAGAAAAAAGAAGACTATCGAAGCCAAACATTGCCACCACTTTTGCGCATGCACATTAATTGCTGGTGTCCTGATAAAATGTGCTGTTTTGTGGATTTTATCTTTAAGATCCGCTGTTTGTTTATTTTCAGAATGTTTATATTGGTTATGCAAAGCTATAGAGCTCCGTTGGTACTTGTTATCAGTTGTGAGCAGATGATGACAGTTTCTTGTTTTGGTGCACTCTAGAGAAGCTTGTTTTTCTTCTTCTATTTTCACAACGCGGTTATTTCCATCAGCGCAGTAGCCATGTCATGTTGGCATGGTTCTGTGTGTTTCCTGGGGCTTATTACTATCAGTTGCGCCAAGAAATGTCCTAAAAGTAAAAATTAATGTGTGTAATCTGTCGTTTTTGTCTTTTAAGTTTGAAAATCAAAGCGGTAAAATGGGTCAGAGCCGGACTAGATCCGGTTCCAAAAGCGGGATCCAGGTCACGTGAAAGCCTTCTTGGCTCAGATGGCAGAGCGTCTGCCTAGTAAGCAGAAGGTCGTCAGTTCGATTCTGGCAGAAGGCAAATTCCTTTTTGCAGTTTCTGCATTTCGAGCTGCGTTGAACAGTTTTTGAGGTTGCAGAGCTCTTTTTCGCCCGCAAAACAAAAGAAATGAGGAGAGCAGCCTCAGTGATACTTTTATTTTTGTTTCCAGCAAAAAAAGATATGACGGCTTCAGCTGTCAGAAAAGGCAAAAAGACGGGGCTCTGCCGGGACTTGAACCCGGGACCTCTCGCACCCTAAGCGAAAATCATACCGCTAGACCACAGAACCACTGAAATTGGAGATTTTGATTTTTGGAAATTAACAATCAAACACCCCCTCCTTGCTACTGCCACAATTGTTGCCTATATTCTAGCGAATTCTACGATATAACACTGTTGGATTCGCTCAATCAACACTAAAAAGTTTTACTGCCGCAACAAAGTTCCCATTATTAGAGCATATAAAATATGTTTCCTACTTTTTAAAACTCGTTTGCCTTGACTACTCCTGCAAAGTACCCACCCTTTTCAAGCAGCTCATTGGGTGGTCCAACCTCAACGACTCTTCCATTGTCCATGACAACTATTCTGTCACTGTTCATAATAGTTTTCAGCCGGTGGACAATTGTCAGCACTGTGCAGTTCTTGAATTCAGAGCGAATAAGCTTCTGCATGTCCTGGTCTGAGACTTGGTCCATGCTTTATGTTGCTTCATCCAGCACAATGATCTTGCGATTGCGCATCAATAGTCTGCAGAGCCCTACAAGCTGCTTCTGTCCATTGCTAAGAGTATCTTTTACATGTCGGTCCAGACCATGAGGTTGCGTTTTCTGGATAAAGTTTTTATCCAACACAGGCTTTCTTACAAACAAGTACAGGAAGGCACGCATTGCCCATCTAGAGCTGTTCCAGTTATTTTTCTCTAGTAGTGGTCTGTAAGCACAGGGTTCAATAGTCAGCTCAAAACCCCGAGCGGGTGATTTCGTTTTCTGTGCCCCATACGCTTCATCAGAAAATCAATGATTTCCCAGAGGGGAGAAAAACTAAGCAGCAAGTATAATTTCATGTGTGTTTGAGACAAACGACACTGCCAGCAAGTTGTGTATATAGCATATTCGTTTTGTTGTTTTTGTACATTTTTCTCCATTATCGCCTTTCCCTCACTTTGAAATAGACAGGAGATGAGCAGCGCAACAGACGAGGAAATACTGCGCAACGTGCCGGGGCTGGAGGAGGCGGCGCGGAGTCTGCTGGAGGTGATCCAGTACCCGCAAAGGCATCGGGCAAAGTTCGAGCGGTTGAGAATCGAGGCGCCCAAGGGCGTGCTTCTGCACGGGCCGCCGGGGGTCGGCAAAACGCGGCTGGTGCAGCAGGTGGCCAAGTTAAGCGGAGTGGCGATGACGACAGTGCAGGGGTCGGAGATCCTGAGTCCGTATCTGGGAGAAAGCGAGCGCAGACTGCGCGAGCTGTTTGGCGAGGCGCAGAGCAATGCGCTGGCGAGTTCGGGAACGTCTGTTCTGTTCATCGATGAGATCGACGCGCTGGTTGGCGACCGGCGGCGACAGTCGGAGCGCGGCGAAGGCGGCGTGAAGATGGTTGCGCAGCTCCTGACGCTGATGGACGGGGTTGGCGAGAGGGGCCAGGTTGTTGTTGTTGGCGCAACTAATCAGCCGAACGCGCTTGATCCGGCGCTGCGGCGACCCGGGCGATTTGATCGCGAGATCCTGGTGGATGTGCCGGGCGTCAGGGCACGACGCGCGATCCTCGCGTACTACGTGGCGGAGATGCCGACGGATGCGACGGTTGATCTGGATGCGCTGGCGGCGATGACGTCCGGATACGTGGGTGCGGATCTGGGCGGTCTGTGCAGAGCGGCGGCGCAGACAGCGTTGTCGGCGGTTGGCAGACAGACTGTCGCCGTGACAATGCGCGACTTTGGCGAGGCGATGCGACGCACAGTGCCGGCGCTGCGGCGCGGACTGGCGGTGGATACTGGAAACTGCGGGTGGGACGATATCGGCGGACTGGAGGCGCTGAAGACAACGCTGCGCCGGATCGTCGGGTGGCAGCAGGAGCAGGACAAGGGCCATGGCGCGGCGTTGCGGCGACTGGGCGTGCGGCAGCCGCGCGGCGTGCTTCTGTACGGGCCGCCGGGC